CCCTACAGAGCTATAGCTTCAGCAGAACAAAAAACAGCTTTAGCACCTGGACATCTCCTTTGTTCTGAACCAGCAGTACAGTACAGGCTGCAGAGGGACATGTCAGTAATTTAAAAGCTCATTTTCTGCATTCAAACATCATGTCAGGATGAAATGCTATCTATCCTGCTATCGTTTAATGAGCACCCCTGGGACCACTGTACCTTGGAGGCATGACATCACATGTCACCAGAGAGATTATTTGTTTTGAAGTTTGGGAAGAGCTCTGAGACTTCATTTCAAAGTGCCCCTCGCACAGTCGTGACTCAAACCCTTCTGGTCTCATAGCAGGGCACAACTGACAACAGTTTCTCTGTGCTGTTGCTGAGCATCCTGTAAGAGATTAGCAGATATTTAATTTTATTATCCTTTCTTCTCTTTTATATAGGGATGGCTTTGTCATTGCTTCAGTTCCTTCCTGCTCATGACACATTTTCTCAATGATGTCTCCACTGAGACCAGCAGAGACAGCTGCAGCAAAAAGCCCTGCAACAAAACCAAAGCATTCATTCAATTTCAGATGGTCTTTAATTTATATATAGCCATTGGGAAAATCATAATATGAAAGCTGTCTTCAGACCTGTGACAAGGTAGCTGTGCACAACACCTGTTTGCTTTCTCCTTTTGTAAGAATAAGCAATCATTACCCCGAACTGTTTATGTATCCCTTGAAGGGATCAAGATACTCATCTAGGGTAATTTGCTGAGGAGCCAACATTTTTTCACCAGATCATAAAAGTTTATACTCACCTGGAAGCAAATAAAGTGTTACCCAGGTTTAGCAGCAGTATTATCTGATTGAAAATATGCAGCATGGAAGATAGAGCAAATCACTCTGAATGGGCATTTTAATACTGAATTGCTGAACTTTACTCAGTTTTAAAACTCAAAGCTTTAAGATTAAAACCCTGGAGGTGCATAAAGGACCTCTCCTTCATAATGTCTACATTGCAATTTATTCCTGTATTAACATTAAAGCAAGAACAAATGAAAAGTGTAGGGACTGTACAAGACTACCAGCCTGTTTGAAATGGGGAATAATTTCAATCATACTCTTTCACTTTATTCCTTCCATGGTGAAGGACCATCAGTAAAGCCATGCTTGCTGTTTTGTGCAAAGCTCCATCACTGAGTGACAGTTCAAAAAGCATGGTAAGAGACACTAAACTGGAATAGGTTCAGAGCACAGGGCATGTGACATTGCTATGCAATCTTAGAGAAGAAAGGAAAGGGATCTGGAATGGCTGAAGAATTTGCAATAGGATCCAAAGACATTTGAATAGTGGAGTGATGAGTATCACATTAGAGCTATTACTGCTTCACAGCAAGGCCCTTCCTGCTGTAGGCAGCAGCCTGGAACCAGCCTCTCTGATCCTGCACAGCCTCCTGCTGCACTGAAGGCTGAAGAGCTGCAGCTTGTAGAGAGCAGCTTGGTGGGAAAGATCTCAGGTGAGGATCGGGAATGGCAGCTCCAGAATTTAATTATAATCTGACCCTGGCAACAGCGACATTGAGATGGACAATGAAATGAACAGAGCTGCATTCCGTGCCTCCAAATCAGTGTTTTATGTTAACTGAAATTACTGTACACCAATATGGACATAAATCTGGCTGATACAGAGGGCTGATTAGCAAGCACAGCTCTACACTTCAAGTAATGGCATTAAAAATGCAGGGATAATAATTTCAGGGCATTAATCATATTGATCACATCTTTTCAGTGATGATGCACCAGGCATTTTTAGAGCAGATTAACTACTTTTACTGTTCATTAATACAACCCAGAATATTAACTACAGTTACTATTACTAAAGTATTTTTATCCCCTTCCTGCAGACGTTATTTGGAACCATATGCTGGTACTTTTCCTCTCCTGCCCTTTTTGCAGCAGGTAAGTGGAGGAGATACTGATGGTGTGATGCAGCTTCCCTCTGATGGACCCAGAGCAGGTTTTCCTTGAACTAGGCACAGGAGCTTGCATGCAATAGAAGAGATTAATGCCAGGTGGCAAATTACAGATGATTACAATCAGTGCATGGATGCAGAAACACAGCCTAACGTTGCCAAGAAAACATGCCTGGCAGCCCATTCTCCCTCTCCTTGTACATTCCTTTTGAAAATAGGATACTTGACTTCTTCAGCTTTCAATGGAAAATATATCTGCTCCTTCAGCATCAACTGTAGAATGCCTGGAAGATCAACAAGGACCCCATGCCCTCTGTCCTACCATTGTCACGAGACAGTGGTATGGTCTGGGCACTCCTGGGCAGGATCTGAGCCCCACAGGGTTAGGCAATGTACACTCATTGATGAACTAAAGGGAACTGGGACAGGAACTCCCTGCCCTGACAGCATATAACCCAAATACTATGTAGGAAGAGAAAGCACACAAGCAAGATAAGGACAGCACTGGCAAAAGGCATGACACAAACACAAAACAGTAGTGAGCTACAACTGGTGATGGCCCAGGAGCCTCATCAGCTTGGAGATGGAGGAACACAGAAACAGGCAACAACAGGTCACCTGTTCCTTTCTTACCTGTTTTAAGGCTCCTACTGCTGCAGTCCCTGAACTTCTTCTCTATTTGTGCTTCTTCAGGAATTGTTCAAAAAGTCTCTAGAGCCAATTGCATCTGCACTGACAACAGTCAGCAATTATTTCAGTGCTTTTGGAGTCCCTTTCTGCCTGCCAGGAAGGCTGATGGGATACTCTGCTAGTCCTTCAGTCGAATAAGCGACTTTCAGCTGCGAAGAGACTTGACCAAGGACACACAGGATTTGATGGGCTTGCCAAGGTCACAAACACAGGAGCTTGCCAGCCATATACCACCTTTCATCACCCATTTGCCAGTCCAACCCACTCAACTCTTCCCTTCCCCAGACACCAAGCATCTTAGTTATTTTTAAATGAATTTCATGTATCCTTTAGTTTGCAAACTACAAAGTAAATATACATTTCAAATGAAATGGCTAGGACTTTAACACTTCTTAAAATATACATTTTATTATTTTCTGGTGTTTGCTATGAAGGTTTCATTCAAATTGTGAAGGTACACAGCCTTTACAAACATCTTGAGTTAAAGGTTTTTGTTGGTGGTTTTATGTTCTGTTTCTTTCATGGCAGAGGAAAATACATAGGCTATAAAATGTTGAAATTCATCAGATGTTTAGTGTTACCTCTTCATATATGCTGCAGAATGCTTTGTAGAAATACTATATAAAATAAGGCAGACTTTGACAGGGAATTCAGTAATAAAATTTCATGGGAGAAAACAAAAAGTTCCAACCTATTATTGTTTTTGTAGCCAAGGGAAGATGAGGTGGTCATCACTGGTTTGTGGGAGAACTACTGCAGTTCTGGTGCTCAGACAGGATACACTTCTTGTTTATTCTACTATTCTCAAGTGAGACCTTTTCAATAAAACTTATTTTAATTAACATAAATCAGACAATATTTAAACATACACATCTATCCTTACAGTGCAATAAAAATGTATTATTGTATAGTATTTTGTATTTGCATTATGAAAATAAAAGGTCTGTACATCAATTAAATGTATATTAATGAGTATGAATCGTAAATTTGTAATGCATCTAAAGTTGGCTTTGGCTTTTAAGTATTTATAAATTCATAGAAAATATTGAACATCTAACAAAATAAATAAAACATATCATTTTAATCATAGATGCTAACGATCAACCTCAAAAATTCTTGTGTTATTTTTTACATTTGCTACTAAATTTCTTAAAGAGAACTCACTTTCAGTAGTGCTCAGAAGTGAATGATTGCACCTTCTGTGATGTGAAAAAATAGAGTACATCTATTTTTCATAGATCAAAAATTCCTTCATAGAGAGTTGCATTTTAAATGTCTGATTGTTCTATGTAACTGTCTTAAGTGCTTATAAAAAGCATGTTGCTTTCTCATAAAAGCTGTGAGTCTCTATTAATAGATATTTCTTTTTCACTTGCAGGATTGAGAATTAAACAAAATCTTCTAGTGAATGTCCTTTTTATGAGGATTCTTCAAGGTCTTCCAGCTTCACATACTGGTATGAAGATATCACAAAAATATGTTCACTAATAAACCCTCTTCAGTACAAGTACTGCAGCAATCCAGTGTAATTCCACTTGATAGGCTTATTTCATTGGAGTCCACACACGGTGGTCTGTGGAAGTCAACTGCTGAGCTCATGTTCTCTTGAATTTGAACATTCCCTAAGCGCATGGGCTACCCTTACTGTAATACTGAAGAGACCAAAACAAATCTGAAATCACATGAATAAAAGTGAGCTTGAATAAATATGCATCTGGTTAGTAAATTACACACCATGGTCTAATTGCTATTCTGGTGGTGGTCGAAGGCTCCGCAGCTTTCTTTCATCTAGTCCTTTCCAGTATTTAAAGTTGTTATCCAGATGCTGCATCAAATTTGGTAGGTCTGCAAATGCTAGGGAAGAAAGGGCAGAGTGAATTTAGTTTGCAGAATTGAAACAGTCACATGATTCTGTCTGCTTAAATATCACTTGAAATGTCTGTGCTAAGTAGGAAAGCTTAAATCTGTCATACTGATACTTGAAATGTTTTTGGCTGTTATAGCTCTCATCACTCAGGTATCACTCAGGCCACTGTGAACTCTTCTGTAAGTCTATTTAACACTGGTATTGCAAGTCCCAGCAAAGGGACCCAGTTTTCCATGAGGGGCATAGCTATTATGCCTATAATTATTCTACTCCATCGAATCTCAGTCACATGTCATGCTCCGGCAGTTGGGAGAGTCACATTTCTGACCACTTTTACCACTGAGGCAGCACTTGGAGGGAAACAGCTGCTCCCTCAAGCAGTTTCCAGACTGCAGAAATTTCTCTTGAAGAATAACTGATATTAACATGGACAAAATGACTGTGCCCCAAGTGCTATCAAGGAGAGTATGTTCTGTTCCCCATTTACAGAGAAGCAAGCTTAAAATGAAGAATGCTAAACATTGCTTGAATTTAGTATATGAAGGAGTAGCCACAAGAACGGCTGGTAGCAGTATCAAAATACTTACAAACAATAATAAAGCTTAGCTTACTTGAACTGCAGAAATCTTCCCTTTTCTCCCACTTTCTTTAGAAGCCATAAGAAAGCAATTTTATATCACCATAGTTTCAAACGTTCAAAAAAAGCCTTATTGTCAGGAAACAGAGTGGAGTTTTGCTTACCATCCCAGGCATCAAACATATCAGTGATGAAGTAATCGATGAATGATATTTGGGATTTGGGGATGCTGCAAGTATTTCTGTCAAAAACTGGCATCACAACAGGTAAACCTTGTCTCTTTTCTTCATCAGTCTGCAAGAAACACTCTTGTGATTATTCATCTAAGACACGTTCTGCTAACGGGTTTCTTTTAGCAGCAGATTTTTTGGCACTGACTAGAGCATACAACTGCTGAATAAACACAGGAACCTTAATAAACCTGAAGCAGCAGCAGATTCATCTTAAGCACCTCATCTAGGTTTCAGCAAACAGCAGACAACTAGTGCCTTCCAGTGTTTCTCACAAAGCGATACATTTACCTTCTGCATCTACACACAAAGCTGACTCTGAATAACTTCACACATTAATGGCAGTTATGACTACCTCAGAGCTGAGGGATGCCTCTCTGTCTCTGATGGAAGAGTAAGATCCTGTACAACTCAGAGATGGCCAAGTATATTCTTTTATCCTCTTCCCCCCTCCTTGAGATACAAATTCCCAATTACAATATTTGGTTTATCGTATGTAAAAAATAACTCTACTCTCTCTTCTTCATCATCTTCGTGAACCCTTTCTTCAGCACAGTCTGTTAAGGTCTTAGAGCATTTCTTGGAGTGTGTGCTGTTCCTGTGCTAACACCAGGACCTGAAGATCTTATTCTTCAGGCACAGTGAGCACGTGTGCACAGAAGGCACCCTTCCTGTGCCTCTTCTGATGGGAAGGCATTTGCAGGCAAAATGCAAAAAAGCCCAGCTCCAAACTGAACAACTTGAAAGGTTAAATTTTTCAAGAACTGTACTGCAGAAATTGTCAGTGTTTGTCTTTCTGAAGGCATCTTGTCTTGTATCCCCATGAGTTATATCTCTCATTTAAAATAAAATAGTTATTTTTCACGTTACGTAATGCAGCTTTAGGAGTTCTGGGACACTGGCAGTGCACCCACCCTTCCCTTCCCTTTTAAAGAGATGCCCACCTGCAATTTCAGCAGTCCGTTTTAGACACCTTACCTGTGCAAAGTACTCCTCAGAGATGCGTCCAGCCCACTCTATGCACTGCTCTATGGGTCTGCATGGATTGGAAATGTCAGCACACTTTATCAACATGCGCTTGATAAGGATACGGTTTTCAGGAGATGTGAGAACAGTTTTGATTGAATCTCCATCACCATTATTCTGTAATATTTAAGAATGAAAAGCAATCCATTAGCAAGATCTGTGTGTTTACTCACAAGCTTTGTGCCTTGGGAATACTTTCAGTAGATCCTTCAGGGATCAGTCTTACTACTGCTTACCAAATTTGATATCCAACCAAATTTATAGGGGGATTATGAATGTCAGCCACAGCTCTGAACTAGCACTGAACTCCAGTTTCTGGATTCAGTCACTGTCTTTGTGACAGATCTCTCGGGCATCTTTGGGCAAGTAATCTAATCCCTCTATGCCTTATACGCCTCCATAAAAGTGTGGAGAGGATCCATTCATCACTACACACAAAGTGATGAGAACTGTGTAAGCAGAAAAATGTAATTCTCTGCTGAAATCCAAGGATTAATGGACTTGCACATTGAGAATGGAATAGTTGGTTTAAAAAGGAGGACTGACCCGAGATGCATGGCCATCCTCTGCAGGCAAACCTCATCAGCATGAGCATCAATCATTCAGACAGCACTGCTGCTATTAGCAGAGTCAGATCACACGTTGCCTTCCAGGCAGGCTCCTCATTCCCTTCCACTGGAGCCATGTTAGTCCATCAGTCTCTGACCTGACTGGGAATTTTGCTTTCTGAGAGTTCATCAGTATTAAAGCCATATATTAGAAACATGCTTCCAAACAGCCTCATCTTTCCTCTCCAAGTCTAGGAAAGTTTTCAGCCCACACACAGCTTATATTTGGTTCCCAGGCTGCGTATCTAAGCACGTCAATGATACTCTATATTTGGAACCAGTATCCAGTTAATATGAGAAAAGACTCCAGTGATCCAGATTAAAAGCTATTTTCTGTGGAGCTCTGATGAAGTCAGTTTCCAAAGGACAGAGTTTCAGGATTACAATATATTTAAAAAAATACCTGTAAGTACAAGATTATTACTTGACCCTCTAGGGACGGGTAGGTAAAAAAATTTACACTGTCTACTCAGAATAGAAACTCTTTGAAGCAAGGAATATATTATATATACTGTATGTCTGACACCTAACAAGGTCTTGGTCTATAATCAGAACAGTGAAGATGCAACAGTAATAATAATAATAATTATAATCATCATCATAATGTGTCACCAGTTCCTGCAGTATGAAAAGGGAGATACAAAGCAGCAGAAACATTCCAAGGTTTTATTAGGACATAATTTTCCAGAAGAAATTGACAATAATAAAAAAATTCTTATTTGGTAGCATACTGTCTCAGAAACACAAGCTCCACAGTTCCTACTGAAATAAGACTCCTAAAGCAATTACTTCCCCTCATTTTTAGAGAGGTGGAAGGGAAAACACAGAGGAAACAAGAGAGAAGTGCAAATGTCTCCAAATGCATGGTAAAATTACATAAGAGAAAGCTAAAGTAAAGTGATGGAAGCTCCAGAAACCTGAGCACTGTATAAAAATTAAGCATGGAAAATTATTAGAGATAATTCAGTTAAGGACAGTAGAGAATATCCTAGTAGGTAAACCACCAAGAATCAAGAAAGGATGTTTGCTTCCGTGATCTGTTCAAACCAAGGGCATAGTTCTACTTGCTGGATGCGGATGTCTTGGGAATAAAATGTGCTAACTGTGCTCAGTCCCAGCATCCTGCTCAGAGTGCAGAGGTGTCTCTGCATGTCAGATGTTGGCTTCCTGTCATAGGCTTAGGTGACATCATGAAGGGAAATGGGAGGATAAAGGATGCTGGAGCTGGAAAGGATTTTTTTCAGTTTATGAAACAAAAGAAAAAAGGAAACAAACAGAGCAGCTTCTCAGCATGGCTCTTTGAACAAATATGTATAAAAATAATAAATAAAAAAAATCTGTGGAACTGTCCCATTTGGAACACGGGGTTGGCAGCTCAGCCTGCAAACACTACACTGAGTCACCACCATGGCTGAAAACCATGCCAGGAAACACAGGCTGCCGCTGCAACCAGATATACAACCAGACTTGAAAGAGGATCTGGCAGTGTTGTTCTGCTAGTAACAAGCACAGCAAATGACTGGGTTTACCCACTCACACACTATAGGCTTTTTAATAGGAACTTGCTGAAGGGAGAAACTCACAACCAAAAGAAGGGAAATATTTTGCTTCTTGTTTTCAGTAAAAATTATATAGCCTTTGTCTTTCTTGGGCAGAATTTGCCATGAATCACAAATGCCCTGTGGGGCAGATTATTTCCCTGCAACCTTCAGGGCTCCAGGGCACAATTCAACTTTTGTTTGATTTTTATATGTCACTGTATTTGTTTGTACTGTTTGACTGTAGGTCAGGTCAAAGCCCTGTTCTTCAGCAGCAATAGCTATTCAGCTCTCCACAACAGGCAAGAAGAGAAGTTTGGCTCTTTGGATGGATGCTCAAAAAACTGCTGCACCCCAATTCTTGAGGCTGCAAGGAAGGGCTCTGTGCACTAAGCCTGGCCAGTGCACAGCCCTCAGCAGGTGCCCAAGAGAGTGAGGCACCCCACCAGCCCAGCGGGGTGGTGCACCACACCCAGCAGCAGCTCCTGGGTTCCCCTCCATGTCTCTTCCCCTCCTATGCTGAGTTGCTGCGCCCACCCAGAGGGGCTGCCCAACTGCATCCCTGCAGGTTTTCAAGAGCTATAAAGACAAGCCGTTTCTCAGGAGTACTGAGATTAAGTCCTTTAGCAAAACTACATGCCTGACTACACTGAGGGTGAGCAGGGATGCAGCATGGTAACACTGGGATGAAAAGGAGCTGCCATGAAGCTCCTTCATCTGCAAACTATTGTGCACAAGCAGCGAAGGGCCCTGGCCTTTCCTGGCTAGCTCACTTGTTTGTAATCTACCAAGAATTGCTCCTCCTTCTTGTCTTAATTTGTTACAATGAAGGAACTGAGCAGAGAAATGCTTAGCTTCACAATTTACCGTCCAGTTTACTGGCCTTACATTTTTATTAAACTATCCCAAAACAAAAAATGTCCACCAGGCATTCAAATAAATGTGTTAGTGTGTGTTATTTCTTGTAAGTGTTCTAAGCAAAACTATTTCTGTGGAAAATTCCCCAATCATAAATTAGTACTTCTACATGTTTTTTAAAAAAGGATAAAATGAAACAGTGTGATCATCTACAACTATGGTTGCAGGCTAGGCTGCAGGCTGACACTTCCAATTAAAAGATTTTGTTTAACACAGTTCCTAACTGCCAATTTAAATTGTTTGGTTTAAGTTTCCCCACCAGGTGTCTGCCTCAGGCAAAGATCTTTTTCCTCCCTAAAAATTGCAGCTAAAAATGTTGTCGTGGCTTCTAGATATGAGTTTGGGGGAAATAAGCTTTTCATGCTGAAGTTAAAAATTAGTGCTGTTTTTCTCTTTTTCAATACCCTCACATCTTTATGCGTGAGGACCTGGAATTTAGTTGGAGGGATGATTTTGGGGTAAACCAGTCACCACCCCTGTGAAAATCTGTTGGACAAGTTACAAATTTTAGAGAAAAAAGCTGTGGTTTGTGCAGACTCAATAGGGATTGATGAAGCCTGGGACTGATCAGGACTCTCCCTGCAACTGTCGTTCTTGGCTGTGCTGGACCAGGCACTATCCAGCAGGTTTGCAGCTAAGAGTCTCTCCTGCCCTTGCAGGAAACAAAACCTGCAGAAGAACAGCAGCAGGGAAAAGGAGGTTGTTGCCTGATTTGAATGCAAAAAAAGGTGAAGAAAAGGAATAGAGTAGCACAGAAGTCTTGAGAACTGTGAAGGAGAGAGGAGACTAGCAAGCAAACAGAACTGGAAGAGGGGAGGAAGGCTGAAAAAGAAGACACTTGTTGAGGGAGGAAGCTAGTGCTGGAAAATGGAGGAGGAAGAGAGACAGAGCTAGTGAGAAGCCAAGGAGCACAAACAGTGGGTGAGAACTGAAAGCAGCACATGACAGTGGGCAGTGAAAGGGCTTTGAAGTTAGAGCACAGTCTGTGAAAAACAGAATCTGATTATACAACTGAAGGCTGACTTCATCATAACACATGCATATAAATGGAGACATAGGCTGAAAAGAAGGTGGTGGTGGTTCTGTCACTTGGTAAGCTTTGACATTAAATTTAGAATTTAAGCCTCTTTTTACCACCATCCTTCCTTTATTTTTAATAGGAGACCAACTGTGCTAAACCTTTGTTATGGCTCAGCTACTGAATGATCTGAGGACAAATGTGTGCATAAACTAATTTTGGTCTTCTCCAAGTTCTGGTAGCAGGGAATAGGCAGTTGTAACAAAGTGTAGATATGCCCTGGGCAGTAATCTTCATAATTACACAAGGTCCAATACAGCACCCACAAAAATAAACAGTATTAGTCTGTCTGTGACTTTAAGCCATATTCTGCATCATGAAGTTGTCTGGGAAAAATAATTCATAGCCACAGATTTAACAGCCTTTCCCTTAGTTTAGTCAGTAAAACCAGTATCCTACTGGTTCTTTGACTTCACATTCATATAGTTCTCATTAGCATTGCTGGGTGCCAAGAACAAAGTTAATTCTAGCATATAAACCTGTAGACAATACTCTGTCCTCCAATTAAGCTCCAATCTGCTTCTGATGGGTGAAAGAACAAGAGCTGCTCCTCTCCTACCTTCAGATAATAACAAGACTTTACCCCTGTTTCACACAACAGTCATAAATGTGGCTTTGTAAAAAACATGGTAAGGAAATGCAGAAAACCATTACAGCTCCTGCAAGATGTTGCCACCAATGCAAACTTTGTTATAACTATTTCTGAAAATCTTCTTTTCACAAAAACCATTCCAACAAAATTATACACTGCTCTTACTGGCAGCAAAACTGCTGGTTGAAGCTGTTATTGAAACTGGTGTGGTTTTTCAGAATGAGTTCTTAACAGGCAATTTCATTGTGTCCATGGGGTTCCAGATGGCTATTGATTATGTCTATATGATACACAATGCCACCATCATCTATTTTAAAGATTAAAGAAGAAAGTAGACAGAAACCCCATGAATGCTGCCAGGCAGCGCTGAAGGCTGAGGGCCCTCATTTCCAGAGAACATGCCATATGGCAGTCAATATACCTGCCCCTGTGCTGCTCCACCAGCAGTTCCCCTTGTCAGTGAGGGAGTAATTCAGCTGCTGTTCTGAGGCAAATTTTGGCCTCTTTGCAAAAATGGCCAACAACAATGCCAGGACTTGCTGCTAGCACTCTCTCCATGCAATTTTAACAGGAAAATGTACAACCCAAGGTTCTGATCCCAAGTATAACTTCCTAGCATGACAATATTAATAGCATCCAAGTGAGTTCCACTCATCCTCAAAATATGTGACAACCATGCTAAGCAAAAGGACATTCAAACCCAGAGATGAAAGACAGATTTCTAGTCTCTCTCCACATTTCTGAACTTTCTTAGAATACCATGTGGGGATTTCCTGCTGCCAAGGTTTCCCAGTCTCTGCCTAGTCATTTTAAGTGTTGCTTACCCCATTTTCTTCTAGTGCTGCCAAGGGTTTATTAATGCTGTTGACAAACTTGTTGACATGCTCAAAGTGCTTTGTCATTTCTGTTGCTAAGACCATGTCAATAATGGCTTGGCGAAGGGTTCGATACTCATTCCTGTTCAAAGAAGGAAACAATTAAGAATACTGGCTAGTTCACAAAAGGCTGCTTGCTAAAACAAGTCTTAACAAAAATGACAGAGACCATTTCCATTGAAGAGAGGTGCTGGGGGGACAAAGAACAGTAATAAAGGCTTGGGCAGCTGCATCTCTGCTGGATGAAGTACCCTTTGGTGTGTGGGAGGAATGACTAGATCTCTAGGAGAAACAATGGAAGAGCAGGTGAGAAGCAGAGGTACCAGCTACTCAGGAGGGCTGCCAGGACATGCCACACTGGCATGTTCCCAAGGCTTTTAGCACAGACTCATAGTAGAGGCTCATAGTCCAGCCAAGTTTTCAGCAATACTTTTCTGCTGTACCTTGAAAGAGCTAAGGCCATGGTTACATCCTCACCCTAAATGCCTTTCTAGGGCTGGAAAAAGAACAGGTTCTTCAGTATCCTTCCTGTTGCAACAAGTCATTTCATTTTTGACGGATGCTCTGTGGCTACTTCTATCCATGTTCTGCCCAAGAAACATCTACTCATTCAGCCATAGCTTGTCCTTTACATCCAATGGTACAAAATTATTCTTCTAGACTTGCTAACATTAGGAGCTACACTAAGTTCCTTAAGATAGGGTCTGCCTTTTTATCCACAGGAGGAATTGGAACCATGGGATTACTCCTACATCTATGCAGGACAGGTAGAAGAATTCTACTGTTTTAGAAGCAAACTTCCACAAAGGCTACAGACAGTTATCCACAAGACACTGCCCTCACCTAGGATGCCTGTTTACATTTTCTTATGGTACACAGAAGAAAGCTGACAGATGTTACTGGGCAGACAAGGGCCTTGGGTGTGAAGCTTACCTCTCCATGTTTTTGAATATATTGCATTTGTCATCCCGGGTGGTGAGCTGAAAAGCCAAGGCAGCATGATGGCTCTCCAGCACTGCTGTGTCATTGTAGAGAATTGCTAGCTCACTGCCAGCATTGCACAGGAATGAATTTGTTCTTCCTGGGTGATCCACATCATGGACTGTGGCAGCAATGAGTGCAGCAACCTCATCAATCGGATCCAAAGTTTGCTGAAAACAGAAGGATACTTAGTTTTCCTGGCAGACTCATTAGGAACCCTACTCTGTCCATAAGATTAAGCCAAGTCACAGAGAAATAAAAGCCAGAAATCTACAGATCAGTAAGGGTCAGATGTTCTACACAAGAGCAGTGGAAAATTCACTGTAAGCTTCATTGAATACTGCAGGAGTTTTTTTGCCATTTTGTGCCTTTTGAATTTTGCCTTAGCCACACCTTTTACAAGCCACATCAAATCAAACAAATGCAAAGTAATAAATTAGTTTGTGTTTTCTAACAACACAGAAACCACGTTCACTTGGAGTTATGGTATTTGCCTTGGCAAAAAACACTAATACTGCTAAAATATATTCTATTTCCTTCATTTCTTTTGGAAACCTTGTGTGTCCTAGTCACATTTGACTTACATGCTGGCTAGGTTAACAATCTGTAAGGAATGTTTCTATATATCTAGTCCTATAATAACAGTGTCCTGGGGCTACACCTAGTAAGAATTCTGTGAAGAATACTTGATGGTTTACATTCACGGAAAAATTGCATGACAATGATCTATACTTTCTGTATCAGATTCTGATTCTCTTTGCATGCTGCACTCCATGACTTATGTCTACTTGTAACTAGAGATCAAGTAATAATCAATGTATCTCCTCTATAATGGAAGACAAAGCTATTTATTTGAGTTTTAAGGTTTTAATATTGTAGTCATAGCATGAAGGAGAAAAACAACAAAGCATCTCAGAAATGTATTGTATACATTTGGAAACTAGCTTTTATGCTGTATTTATGCTGGGCTTTTTGTGAAGGATCACAGATACAAAACAATTATGTTCAAAATTTTAATGAAATCAAAGATACACAAGAGTAGCAATGTTCCCAGTTTAATCTGGGAGCAGAGAAGATAATTTCCATTCCAATTACTTTAAATTTAAGGTCCACATTCTCTACTGACTTTGACTGTACCATTCAGAATGGTTAGACTTGGTAGTTGAAAACACAATCCCTATTCTACACCTCCTGAAATAAATGCAGTGACACGTCAGTGATGGAGCTACAATATTATTCACTGAGGACTGTTAAGAGGGTCTTGTGGACAAGAAAAGGCAAAGAATTATTTCTACTCTAGCTTTATAGGTAGCATTGACTGAAACACTGCTATATGGTATCTTCTTTTTTATTTCAGCTGCTGTTCATGGGATTCTGTTTTTGTGGTATGAAGTTAGGAGAGAGAGATTTTTAGAACAGGTCAGAGGGCTATACTGACCAGTGAGTGCTCAGTCTGGCTGAGAAGGACCTGTGCAGGTGGAAAGTGGCCAGAAACTGGAGAATACTTAAACCTGCAGGACATGGTATTGTATCTCATGCTTATTTCCTGAGTCTGACATAACTTCACAGGAATTTGCAACACCTCTACCCCCAACTTCAGGTCAAGGGTTCTAATTTGGTCATCTTAAATCCTATGGCACAGAAGTGGAAATTATTCTAAGAACACTGCTTCAATTTGGGAGCCAGAACATTTTCCCAGGCAAGATCCAAGTTCAATTTACTGAAAAAAATCCTCTCAGCATGAATTTGAGTGGCAGAATCTGGCCTTCTGTATTTAGGTTAGGTTGGACTCTGGACAACACAAAAGCTGCTGGGTTGTAACTTTGAAAAGAGAGAATTTTGAACTTTGATTCTGCTCCTTCTTCTGCTGCAATATTTTTTCTCTTCCTATGCCTACAGAGGAATGGAAATAACATTCTGGAAAAGGAGAAGGTAGTTATGCTTCTCTGGCATTGAAATGAGTCCAGATCTTGTCTGTTTTTCATAGATATTCTCAGGAAGACCAACTACACCTCTAGCAAATCAGGGGCTGAAAATATCCAGTGAAGTTCTATTCCCACTTGGCATATAATACTTGTAAGTCAGCCTTTGGAGAGCACACTAATGAGCTGCAGCTCCTGGTTAAGGGACTTACTACAGTTTTAATGAGCTGTGAGAAGCTTGTTTACAGTCACAAATGTCTCAGCCAGGTGCCCACCACTAGCACTATCCTTAGGCAGGCCGATGCAGGGTAGGAGTTCCTATCCAAAAATTCAACTCTGAAATATGTACAGCCACTCCACTGCACATACATGCAAGCACTGTTATAATTCCCCTTCTCCAGTCTGCCCTCTAGGCATGTGAGAATAAAGGTTGCTCTGATTTATTCTGGTTGTCAGTGGCACTAATATGATAGTGGGTGTTATGATACAAGGAACTTCAACAAGTAATCTTTTTCAATACTCTCCTCCAAAGCAGTCTCTTTAAGCCTCAGGTCCAGTGGGTGATACAGCTTTGGAAGGAGTAAAACCTATTTTATGGCCTATATTGTCCTGGGAGTCTTCTGCAAAATTACCTAAGAGTTCCTGATTTATTATGTTGAATCTGTATTTGGCAGGTACCATCACAAAAATACTTCTGTCATAAGCTCACCTATCTGAGAAAGTTTAATGATGCACAAAAGTTTTGTTTCAAAAGGAGATCTTCTTGTTCTCCCATCAAGAATTGCTTAATTCCTGAAATATTAGTATCCATCCTTCCACATATACTATAAGAGAGATCCCAGAAGTCATGTAAAGCAGCCCAGTTCTTTGACCTCAGAGTTACTAAGCTGGCTGGCACTAGGCAGACATTAGGCTCTTGGCATCTTTTTGTCCAACAGATCTCTCTTTGATCGCATCTCTACTTCCCACTTGTGGTGTTTCTTACAAATGTGGACTCACCTTTACTCTTTCTTTACACAAGAAATAAGCAGTGGCATGTAGTACATCTGCTGAATGCGTAGAATTATGGTAGGAGTTGGAGGAATGGTAGTTAGCTTCAATGACTTGTAACCATGACCTCAGAGTCAATTCTGAACAGTTCAGGAATTCACAGATTCCAAAGCGAGCAAATATTTTGAGACCCAGATAAACCAAAGGCCTGGGGAGAAAAATAAACACAAAGTTTTAAAACAAATTAGCTCGAAAGAATATTACCTAGCATAAATAGTATGAATCTATTTCTCTAGTTTTTAACCAATGACATGTCAGATTAGGTATAAGGACTTGTTACAGTATTACAATCCTGTAGAAGTGATCTGCCTACCCACCACGTGCACACTCTCAGAATCATGCCAGTTCCTGGCACTTCAGGAATATTAAAAAGCTCTATGCTGCTATACTACATATAGCAGTATTCTGGGCTTCAGTCTGTGTTGGGTAAAGACTGAAGCCAAAAGGAGATAGAACAGCAAGTATTAAACTCAGTGTATGAGAGGAGGGAGGTATTCCTGCT